TTTGTTATTTTGTTGCTGTCACAGTGATGAAATGGAAGCCCATAACAAATTGACAGCTGGTGTTGCTCAAGGACAAACGCATCTGAAGATGACTTGATGTGGCCAACAGTGCTAACAGGCTGGAGGTAATCCTCATAAAGGTGTAGGCGTGTTTTTGTAGATCTTATTTGAATCAATCTTTTGTTGTTGTTTTAGAGACAATTTGATTTGCTGAGTGGAAACAAATACAGAAACTTTCATTTATTTGTTTTTATCAAAAGTTACATGAAATATAAAATAAACTTGACAAACTAGTAACTGATTTTTATGTTAGACATGATAATAGACCTTGATTTTTTTTTGTTTTCATTTTTCTCCTTTCAGAAAATTAGCTATTTTTATGTTCTTGTGTCTGTTTTGCAGCTGAAGGTTATTCTGCAAAAGCACAAAAATTATTCTTCAAAAAAACAACAACTCTGATTTGTGATTTTTTTTTTTGACGCATTTAAATTATGACTCAATGGGTTGTTTAATTTAAGGAGCTCATGCCAACCTCTCTCCCTCTGGAAGTCTTAACTGGCACATTCTGTGTCTGAAAGAAGAGAACCAATTTAGGAAAATATGCTGATGTAACCAGCCTTGGTGTGTTCTAGTTACTCTTTCATTTGGAGAAAGAACAAAAAAATTTGAAGACATCCATCTTCATTGATTCCCAAAGTGCCGTGTCACTGGTGCCTTGGTGACCTTGTCGTTCAAAACCTTCCCTTTCCTGCTCCGTCAACACCACATGACAGATGAAACGCTGCTGTACTTGAAGCACTTTCTGTACTGACTGAGTAATGAAGGTTCAGCGGTCAGAGGATTATTTCTGCTCTGGCTTCGGAGGTCACTTTGGTGATGGCGGCAGGCTCATAATGTTTTCAAGGTCTTTGAGAACAAACAAAAAATCTTGGATTCTTACAAAGTTGGGAGATTGTGTAAAATGTAATAAAATAAGAAACACACTGCAATGACTTGGAAATCTCATGATTTCAAATGTTATTCACAACGGAACATAGTTCAATTCTTAAAGGGGCAAAATCATGTAAAATCAACTTTTTGGAGTTTTATATCATGTTATAAT